TGCCTCCAAGGGGTCAGGAGCGGAGCCCACGTAGCCCAGCCATACTGGCAATGCTTTCATAGGTTGGATCTTGGCTTGTTGAGATTTCTCTGTTCTTCGATATTTCCCTGGTGGATCTGGCTGGAAGGAATGTCGGTCCCTTTAAGGGAGGGGCTCTGCATTTTCAGTTTCACTTAGAGGCTTTCCTTAGGAAACAGCGCCCTCATGTGGCCGCATTTCAAAATGGAGAAACAGACCTCCATTCTTTATTCAGCGTCTGTGATAGGAGGGCTTGCTATTCCTTTATGTATCTCTGATGTGTAGTTTTACTTCTTTTGTTCTTTAACTATTATATTAATTTAGATCTTACATTCAGCCCTTGGTGCTTTCATGAAATGGAATGGAATGGATATTTGTCTGCTTCTCTGGCCATCTTTCCCATTGTTCCCAATAGAGGAGCACCAGACAAGTGAGGGGAAGTTGAATTAGTTGCAAACCATTTGAATCAGGACTTTTGACCAAGATCACAAACAGTGTAACATTAATTCCAAAGAACCGCATAAGGTTATTCAAATGCTATGAAAGCAGAAGTACTTTTCCAGTTTTATTTTTGAGATCTTGGCTGGATATGCAGCTCTTGAACCTTTTAGGCAAATTTGAAAAGCAAGTTCTCAAAACTCCTGTGATGTCTTAACTGGCTTATTCCTGAAATAAATTATATGTTGCAATTAATCTAATCTGTGTATTTCATATGACCCCTGTTTATCTTATATCATTTTGAACTAAATCTTTTAACATTCTAAGTTATTAATGAAGTCAGAATCTATCAATAATTAGGTAGTGAAACCAGTTTCAAAATTCTATTTGTGTGATTCCTTGAAAATTATATTGCGTTGGTATAAAAACTATGCATCTATTTCTCTGGTTTTGCATTTGCATTTTTTTCTTTTGTTTTTCTTTTGTTCTCTTTTTTATTCTGCACTACTTTTTTTTCAAAGCTTTTTATCACTTTTTCCATAACTTATTTTCTATATGATCCTGTTTAGCATGTACTAATTTGTACTAAATCTTCTGAGAAGAAAAAAGTACAGAAATTCAAACATTTCCACTTTTATATTTCATTTCAAGTGACCTAAAGAGTCTGTCATTGAATAACCTCACATAACAATTTTCATTAGCCTGTAAAGAAAATTTCATGAACACAATCACAAGTCAACCTTGAATCAAGAGGATCTATCTGACTTTTTACATAAACCTTTACTGTAGTTTTTGTTTGCTCAGATAGAGTTGCCCAAGTATAGAAATGACAATGAATGTTTGTCCATGCATGTAACAGATAGTAATTGTCCTGTTCCAAAAAAGATAAAATATTGAAGGGCACACATATACAGATTTTAGACTTGCCTCACTATTATTGCATTTTAGTTTAATAGTTGTCACTTTGTTACAATGGTTTTGGAAAGAGAAATACTGTTTGAAGATATTTAGAATTATAGTGAAAAAATTGAATTCACTATATTAAGAAATAGAGATTT